AAAATCTGAACGCAGTCTGTTGTTTATCAAAGAGAATCAGAGCATCTCTGACTACTAACGATACGTCAGCTTTCACAGCCTGTAATGCATCTTCTTTCACGTGGGCGATTTCTTTTTTCAAGGACTCCATCTCCATACGATGGCTGTTAATGATCGGAGCACCGACATTTATTAATTTTTTGCCTTGCAGATCGAAATTACCATCTTTATCTAGTTTGAAGCCTACACCTGCCGGGCCGCGTAGTGAAACAACGGATTTACTCTTTTTGCGCCCAAATTTATCGATAGTTTTATTCATCATTACCCGACAAATGATCAACTTATACTGAGCGCCCTATTCAATAGAGCTTACTATATACACAGAATGACGCTCATGTAGAAATAGTGAATATTTGAACTCTACCTAAATCACAAGTACTCAATAATAATATTTTTGTTTTTTACATTTAGAGGCTGACACTCGACATAAAATTATAATTACAAATATAGATTAGTACACACACACACACACACATATATATATATATATATATATATATTTACAAAATGATGCTTATAAGTACTCAATATTTCCCTAATTACATCAGGACTATGACTATCTAATTTTATCATCACAAAAAAATAGATTTCCCAGTTTATGATTCAATTCATTTCTTCCTCCAATAGTTGGATCAGTAGATCTAATCTTTTTTCATCTTCAGTCATGAACGATTCTATTACTTGATTGCACCACCTAACATTATCCTCAGGATCGGATTTATAAAACTCGATATCACTATGTCCCCAAGGTAGGGTTTTCGTGATATTGGGGATTATAAACCGCTTGTCGTCATTATGTGAAAGAGCTACCTTGTTCTTCATCTCCGTATACATATCATGCAAATAACTTTTGAAACAATTCATCTTTCGGAATATGAGCCCACCTTGTTCTACTATGCTCTTATAATCGTCTAGATGTAATTGTTGTTGGACAACTGCGTGTGAGACCCCTTTCGCTTTTTTCAACTCGGTCCCTACCGATTGCACGTAATAAGCTTTAGCCCCTGTACCGTAGAAGCTCATTATGGGATCATTGGGGAACTCATCTTTCATATTCCCGAGAATTGATTTTGTTACAGGCATATTGAACTTATTATTTTGAGGGTAATTAGAAGTATCGAATTTCTCAATATTATCCTTCATGAATGCATAAAAATTATCTGTCTTAACTTTCAATATCAATGAATCGGTGTCTGTGTAGAGTAGCGATGCTCTATCACCGAAATTTGCCTTGATAAATTGATAATAAAAGTCATAAATAACGGTTTTAGACATGTCCAATATACAGAAACCCAAATACAATGGTTTATTATAATTAACTTTGACTTTACCCATATGTATAGCAAGAAAGTTCTCGGTGAATATGGAAGCACATTCAAAATTTGGACGTGATATTAAGGCGCAAGCACCAGCACTTCTGCCTATACTATGCCAACGAGTGACCAGTTTTATGTCGCGTCTCTTATCCACATTCTCCATCGTCTTACCATACACTGAATTAGTCATCATTTTGAACTGATTACTTTCAAACTTATTGGAGCTATTATTTCGCAATACGGTGTTCTTATCTATATATTTCTTCAACCACGGTGACTGATTGAATTTCAGTATTCTGTGAGTTCTCTCTAATAATAAACCATTGTAAATCGCCTGTTTTAGGTTTTTGTAGTGAACGACGTATTTTTTCTTATCGTTCAAGTTAGGTATGAGTTTATGAATTTTTGATTTAGAGTGCGGTGGTGTGATAGATTCGACTAAGAAAGGCATATCTGAATGGGTATCATGAAGTTCTGCAGGATAGTGAACATCGACCTCAAGTACATACCCAATTGGGCTATCGTCCGGAACACTCATGATATCCAATGTCTGTATTTCTTTAGGTGTTAGCCAACAGAAACCAGATGTCGGTAGCGGTTGTGACATACTATGACCGTAAAGATTCGTTGCATCTAAATAGGTAATGAATGATTGTGGTTCATCAGGTTTGAAATTTGGGAGGAATTTGTTATTAGCAACAGCTTTACGGTCAACGCAAGTACTTATTCCACCACGTATGCCTTTCTTAAAGAAATGTATCATATCAATATCAGTTAATAACTCCAATTCTACTTGAGTGCACTTGAGCATAGCGTCCCAAGATAAGCCAGGTGCAGTGTAGTATTGCGCGGGGTCTAAATCATAGGCTTTTAAGCAAATATTCCTAAAGTTTTCAAAAATATCACACAACAGTAAGACATCTGATTTAAGATATATATCCGAATACTCTCCAAGACTTTTACATTCGAACACATTCCAAACACGGACCGCTCTCATATAATCCTCATCTGAAACATGTTCATTCCTCAAGTTATCATAAAAATCGTCTTTACTCGGTAAGGTGTCTGTATCTAGCTTGTCCATAGAACTAACAAAACTATATGGAAAAACGCCCTTTTGAGTCATCAATTCAAATTTATCCATTTCTGGAAAGTATTTTGCAGTATCAACCAGCTGGTCACGACTTAGAATCTTACCCAAATTGGCCAAGGATGATACCATGAATCTAAAACTATCAATAAATCGAAGTTTCAAGAAAACCTTTTTCATTTGACCGTTTTTACCCATATAACTATCGACAAATATGTACTTAGTGAATGATAAATATTTTTCTTTGGTTTGAGGAATAACATCCACTCTCTCACTATTGTCACCATCTGCGAATAACTGTTTTATGAACATATGACTGTCGTAACCACTCATGTTGTGAGATATGACTGGAATAAAGTTCGGTAACTTAAAATTCAAATTACAGACAGAATGCGCGGCCCCAAATCTTTTATGACCTGTTATATGACAATGGTCTCTCACTTTTACATCGTTATCATCAAAGGGCTTCTTACAGATACCACACTCTGTTGCATTTGAGAATTCCAACTCTTCCTGAATAGTCAATTTTTTCATTGGAACTACATGTTTCAAATAAGAATTGTAAATGTTCTCTGATTCACTGACTAACTTATCGACAAACTTTTTTGCAGCGTCCTTGCCTCGATAAGTCACAAATTTTGATTTGGAGTCATCAAAGGAACATTTGATAAGGAATGCGAAAGAATACGGTTCGTGTTCGAATGTTTTGTTTGTAAAAGAATGCTCCGGATCGGGTTCACTGGTGAGAATTGGTTTCAAAATTGATTCAAAATCTGCGTAGATAGTAAACGGCACCTTCAACTGTCTCTCAAAATTTTCGAATTTCAATATATTTTCAGGTACTTCCCTACCAAATTTGTCAATTTTCAATTCTGTTGTTGGTGTTCTGGTGTAGATATGATTGCAATCATGTAAGCGATGATTGATCAATTTGCGCTCATCATTAAAATAGATCAAACAACCGTCGCAAAAATATTTTCTACTCCTGTTTTTAGATATTTGAGTAGATACCAATCTCGATAGATCTTTGATCCAACAATAATGACTATTACCGCTCTCATCATCAGTAATGAGTAGCAAATTAACATGTTTGTCTAGCACCTTCTGAGAATAATGTAAAGGTCCAACTATTTCATACTTCATCTTACTATCTTCGAATATATTCTCTAATCCGTAAACGTTAATGGAGCAGTCATTGAGGCCCTCAAATTTTGAAATATCGCGTAATTTGACTGGGAAATCTATACCTGTTATGTTTAAAACAGTGGAGAAATGAGGGTATGAAGATATCAAATGACTGCGTACTGCTGCTGGATATAATGCTGACGTTACAGCCCATGCGAAACAATGCTGGTCCTCGTTTTGGACATTCACCACCGCCATCTTCTTCTGGATAAACTTGGGCAGCTCCATATATGAAGAGCCTCGTAGTGGACTGAACTTGTTGATGTTGCACTCGAGGAATAAAATTTTCTCCAAAACCCAACCTTAAAATAAAGAAAAAATGATGAGAATACAATTGAAAATGAATTTATGTAAGGATATACATCTAATAGCTGTACACCACATCACAGCATAATGTCGAAGAGATACTCTGATAGCAACGCTTTCGTTTATAGTGGAATATACATTATTTCAGTCAACTCACCAGAATCACGTTCCTCAAATTCGGTAGCTCGATTGATGAGGATGTCCGTGCATGTATCGATGATTGCTCCCAAATCGGTTGACTTATATACAATATGGTTTGGGGTGGCAAACGACTTGGTGTCGTATATATCTTGGGTTTGTTGAAAATATCTTCCGAATACCTCCATATTAACCTTCAGGGTGTTGTGGACATCTAATGTTGTTTTTAATAATGACATGAGTGTTTCCTTGGATTCGATGAAGAAAGTTTTGTAATCTGCTGGAAGTTGACTCTTACACTCAATTCTATAGCTGGCTATTCTGCATTTCAAAGCGCTATGAATCAGTTGGACATTATCTGAATACTGCGCACTGGACTTGGTTCTATGCTCTAGCGATCTCTTATGCGCAACCATTTTATCTGCAGGTATTGATTTATTGCAGGTTATGCAAGTTTCCATAGTCACCGTTGTGGAAGCGGCAGTATCCAGTCTCACTCGTTTTGCTGAGGGTGCACCACCAACTGACGCCCCACATGAACCTCTTTCATGTCTACGTAAGTTGTCAGTACGTGTGAACACTTTTCCGCAGTTATTACATGAAATCACATTGTTCTGATTAGGAGCTGATGATGTCTGCGCACTAGTATCCACATTCGCCCGATTCACTGGAGGTGTACCAGCTGTATGACCCGACCCTTTTTCATGTCTCCTCAGACTACCAGCACGCGTGTACAATTTGCCGCAGGTAATACAAGAGTACATTTTGCTTCACTGATGATACTTTCACACTGAATTGACTAAGAGGTTGCTGGACACTGCTTTTGAAGTTCGTAAACTGACTGAATTATTAGCGAACACCACAATTTATAACCGATCTCCTTCCACGTCGAGAAGGAACCTCCCTAACCAATCAACAAATCATAGGTCGCCTCCTACTTCTACGTCAAGAATCACCCAACCAACGGCGACTGGTGTTTACACAGTCCTCCGAAATTCAAAGCGATATCCGTTTCCACTCCACTGCACGCTCAAGGCCAACCACGGTCCGGGTCGATGCGAACAGCTGCAGGTCCTTTCAGACCCCTTCGAAGGCCCACATCGTCTCACGCTCAAGACCACCCACGTCCAAGGTCGCTGACGTCACTGCGGCGACGGTGCGGTGCAGTCACATGCTCAAGACCACCCACGTTCGAGGTTGCTGCATCGCTGCGGCGGGTCTTTTCAGACCCCTTCGAAGGCCCACATCGTCTCACGCTCAAGACCACCCACGTCCAAGGTCACTGACGTCACTGCGGCGACGGTGCGGTGCAGTCACATGCCCAAGACCACACACGTTCAAGGCCGCCCACGTTCAAGGTTGCTGCACCTCTGAGGTGCACTCACATAACCCTCCTACTGACTTTTGTGACGGTTGCAGAAAAACATCTTTATAATTGATTGTTACCGATTTCATAAACCTACCTTGAACTTTGCACCTACTGGTATTGTTTGGGTCCATACTTTCTCAATATTTGGAATGAATAATTTTTGTTTTCGAATACCTGTATATTGAAAAGGAATATTCTCAGATAAATTATGAACATACAAAAAAGGATATATATTGATATAAAGCAATACATTGAGAATTCGCATTCTCTATGTGATGAGAATATTTACTCTTTTTCAGTTAATTCAATAGAAAACAACTACTTTCCTGGCTATATGCCACGACGAACATTGAATTATGTCTATTGAACACACACGAAAAGAGTTTGAAAATAAAATATAAAAATTTCTGAAATTGAGAATTTGCATTCTCCTTCAGACAAAAATGTGTATATACACACATCATTCTGAATATTCAACAGAAAACAACTACTTTCCTGGGTATTTCATGGAATGCATACCCATCAGAGAACCGAACTTCTGATTCGAAGGCATTTGACCTTGGAAAAAGAGTTTCGTTTGCATTTATTATTTGCAACCAACCGACACTGAAGTTTTGCAACACAGAGTCATCAGGAGCCCTCGAACCTGAACGAATGATTATTATAGTGAGGGTGCAGGTGAATTTTGGGCATAGCTCCCTGAGCTAAATGCATATTTTTATACCTGTATATTGAAAAGGAATATTCTCAGATAAATTATGAACATACAAAAAAGGATATATATTGATATAAAGCAATACATTGACAATTCGCATTCTCTATGTGATGAGAATATTTACTCTTTTTCAGTTAATTCAATAGAAAACAACTACTTTCCTGGCTATATGCCACGACGAACATTGAATTATATCTATTGAACACACACGAAAAGAGTTTGAAAATAAAATATAAAAATTTCTGAAATTGAGAATTTGCATTCTCCTTCAGACAAAAATATGTATATACACACATCATTCTGAATATTCAACAGAAAACAACTACTTTCCTGGGTATTTCATGGAATGCATACCCATCAGAGAACCGAACTTCTGATTCGAAGGCATTTGACCTTGGAAAAAGAGTTTCGTTTGCATTTATTATTTGCAACCAACCGACACTGAAGTTTTGCAACACAGAGTCATCAGGAGCCCTCGAACCTGAGCGAATGATTATTATAGTGAGGGTGCAGGTGAATTTTGGGCATAGCTCCCTGAGCTAAATGCATATTTTTCTCAGAACATTGTAATATCCTTACAAGGGACTGCTGATGACCTTCGTCGTTATTTCATGTTTATGTATATAGATATATGTATATCGAAGACTGGAACTTTTGGCACGATATACACTACACTGTTTTATCACTAACCAAAACGATTTTTTAAACGGGGCGACACGTGTTTTGCTAACTATGTTAGCATCTTCAGGAGAAGATTGAAACCGTATTGAAACTAAATATCATATTCTAGTGTGCTGCTTATATACTGGGTATATGTTTATCGAACCGTGAAAAATACTAACCGTCAAGTTAATGTTTGTCATAGTTGAGTTCACATGTTAATCTTGATTTTTATATTACTAAACTATATAGAGGGCTATATGGAATAGGTGCATTATCCGTATTCATTATACTCCATTACTATCCTTGAATATCTCTTAGCTCTTATGTATGCGTCTAATATTCTAATATTATTAACTTTCATTACTAATTTGAGGTTAGTAATATGTGTGTTATGATTGTGATTGAACATATGTTCGGCTACACAAGATTTATCTAACCTGCCATATTTCAAATGGGCTATGTGTTTTGAACCTTGTTTTTATGGTCGCCTGGTTTGGCCTATATATATATATGTTTCATCACAGTCATTACAACTCATTTTCAAATGTGTCCACTTCATCTTTCGGATTGCCCAATAACCTGCCTAATTTTGGCCCAGACTGATAAACACTTTTGAAACCTTATCAAGTCCCTTCGTATATTTGGGATTGAACGGGATTGGGATTCTTCTAGAGTTCTTTTTATCTGCTTGAAAAGTCGTAGAATATCGAAGTGTTAACTGGTATACTATATGTATATAAAAATTCCAAATCAATTTTTATTTCAACATTCTCTGATCTTGCACCGTTTGATCCACTAATGCCTCTTGTTTTCTATTATCATGTCTGCCTCTGGATGAAACAGTCAGGTTTTCCGTAGTTTGCCCTGAACAGTCAAAGTTTTTGAATGCTTACACAGTTTTGATAGCAAGACAAGGGTTTCATGAGCATATTCGTGATGAATTTGGCAGTTCTGAAGGCACGTTACGAAAGTGGAGTAGCAACATATACAGGGTGTTCCTTAAAGACATGCTTATATTCATGGAGGTGATTATTTGACTCATTTTAAGAAGAAAACTTCACATGAATGTATGTCCTAAAAGTCTTAAGGTTGAGAAACGCGACAATTCTCGCCTATACCTGAGGTCCGGGGGGGTTAGGAAGAGATAGCAGTGGGCGGTTACAAAACAGTCATAAATCAACAAGCATCCTTTTTAGAAAAGGACAACTCACCCGGTTCGTCAATTAGTCGGGGTGATTACCGCGTCCGAATATTTATTTATATTGCCAATAATCTGCCTAGCAGATTCCTAGCGAAATGTATTCTACCTATATTCATCGGGTAATCCGGTCATAGAATCTAACTTGATAACACCTTGATTGTGTTATATCCTTGGTTATATCCATTACGTTTACATATGTTATGAAGATTTACAACACTCTTCATTGGTCGAGAGGTGTGGAAAAATTAGGATTTTAAAAGCCTCAAGCCATAGCGCTGCTTTTGAAAATCCGATCTTGAAAAACCAAGAAGCAAACGAAATGACTCATCAGATACTATGAGTAGGCTTTAATCATTATTTTCTTGAATTTCAACTGTATCGTCAGTTAAAGTTAACTTTTCTGTTATATTATACAGGGTGATTTACGTAGGCGCAAATATCATCGACCAAATCGTGCGTATTTGTGAGAATGTAGAGCAACGGCTCTTGACGTCGTGTATAGACATCGATCGTTATTTCTAGCTGCTTTTTTTGTGTGGTTTGTTGACAGATAGATCTAGGTTGGATACTATTTGGAAATTGGATATTTCATGTACACGTTTTTTTTTTTATTTGCCAAATTGACTAATTTTGAGCACTTTTCGAGAACGTTTTGTCCACTCTTTCTTTAAAAATTTCGAAAAATGAGATAGTATTCAACCTAGCTTGGTCCTTTGGCTGGAGCATGAATCGAAAAAATTCTGAAAATATTGAATGGTTTCGAAATGGGAAGTCTAGAGCGAGAGCGCTGAATTTGTTATTTTGTGCGGCTCATTGCTCACTCTTTAGTGATGCTGATCTATTAGACAGAGTTGATGTCATTGCTTGAAATTTTATATTTTATGAGAGATGAGAATTTGTGAAATAATAACAAAATGAAGTCATTGTGATATCAAACATAGTAAAACGAGAGCAATTTTGTGTTATAGCCGTCAAAAAAAATCAGTATCTTGGTTCTTTGAAAAGCATTAGATACTATGTTGCTTTGAGCACAGCTGAAGTGGAATATAAAACAGCAGCAGCAGTAGCGCAAGAACTTGTGAATTGAGAGGTACCTATATTGTGTGAGGTCAAGAACATGGTACGGTGCTCTTTATAGAAACGGGTTAAACTCACACAACAAATGCCTGATTGTTAAAAATGTTATGATGTGGATTAAGTTAGCACAAATTGAAATATTGTTGATTATTTCACCAATTCCTCATTGGAAGAGAAAATTTTGAAATTCAGTTTCAGCTGAGAATATTACAAAATAGGCGATTTCCTCGATTCATAGTACATAGCTTTGATTTCAAAACTTACCACTTAGCCTTATGATGTGCGATGATAACAATTATGGAAAAAAATAGGTTGATTCAGATATTGAGGAGGAAATAAAATACTAGTATCTATTGAATGCTATGATCATCCCTTCAAACCCCCGCCACCTCTACTTTATAAAATTCCAAATGGCAACTTGAGATACATCAAATTGAGGCGGAAACAAAAACCAATCCGACCAGATGAATAATAATTTATTTCAATGATTCATGTTGGTGATCAACAAAAGTTAGAGAGAGCGAGTGATCTTTGACAGAGGTATTTGAAGCAATTATTCGAAAATATGCTTCAATATTTGATGCTTCTTGAAACATTTTTTGAAACGTTTTCCCATTTATTTGTCTACTTTTCGAGAAATATATCAGTTTGAGTACATCCATATTCTCTGGCTGAGTTTTATTAACCATTGTTTCCACATGTGACTCCACAAAAATTGATCTGAGGATAACTTCAATGAAAATTGACAAAATGTTTGGCTGTAATAACTGACCTAATATAACTTAATTTAATGATTATGTCCCGATATTTATGGATCGAATACTAAGATAGTTTTCCATCTGGTTGGTTATTATTGCTAGACTTTGAATTTTATATATCTCGAAGTAGGGGGTGCCATTTGGAATTCCAAAGGGGTGTCTGGGTGAAGAGAATGAACATAACATTCGACCTATACTGATATTTTTCTTCCCCCTTGATATCCTACGTCCGGCTACGTCTTTTTGTCGACACATGTGATTTTGTTTTTTCTCCCTTACGATAATCACCTGCCCTGGGTTTTATAGGCGGCATTTTCAATACTTATAGTCACAAACACAAAAACATTTCCACACCAAATACAAAGTTCAACGTTTCTGCATAAAGCGGATATCAAACTACTGACATGACGAAAATATTCAACATTGATTCATTTTACCTGGAATCGTAAACATTCAAAGGATGTTGAACATTTTTATAATGTCATCAATCATTAATGACCTAC